ACAGTAAAGGAAAGGAAACAAATGCAGCCATCACAAGAATTGGCAAGCTGCAATAAAATAAATGTTTCTTTTGGGTTTAATGCCACTTTAACAAAAAGCTCAGAACAGAAAAAAACAGCCATAGCATGTGATTATCTCCCTGTAGCTCAGATGTTGAAAGAAATGAAGGCCCCTTTCACACGGGTCGGGTTGGATCTGCTCTATGGGCAGGCGGGTGTAAATTGATGCTGTCCATTTACACCCGATTACCCTCTGATCTGATTCACCTAGATGTAAGGGACAGATCCTCTTCATTTTTGTTTTTTTTTAGCAGATGGGATCGGACTGGAGGTAGGCAGATGTAAACAGATATGAGGGATTCACGGACCACCTGATAAGGTTCACCTGAAAAACTTACAGGCGGATCGGATTGCCAGTATAAAAAGGAGCCTAAGAATCGGAGGGTTCATATTAACAAGCTGGAATTTGGGTACTATGGTTCCAGCTCAATGATTAGGGCCAGTGGTAGGTCAAACATGAATGAGAGAGGAGGCTTGCCTGGTTGAGGTTGTCTTTCCTAACTCAATAAAGCTATTTTAGGCTTGGAGTCGCAGTTTACAGGCTGTGTTCATTTATCTGTTTTTGTTATATTGGTCATCTTTTTTTGAATGGATGGTTAAGGGGTATTGATTCTGATTTGCCATAGGATAAAAGGTATAACATCCATTACAATTTTATGCCTAAACTATTTGTAAAGCCTAAATCTAATTTTAGTATTTTTGGCCGCATGCCGGATTTCTATACCATTTTCATAATAATTTGCTGTGAAACTGTTGAAAAGTCTCTTATGCAAAAGTACTGCTTTGCACTTATCAGCAGTGTTGTCAGCCTGCCATGCACATTCCTTCACTTGGTCATTGGGCTGCCTATCAGGGGTGCTCATGCCTCTGGCAGGACTGATAGGCAATCCAACATCCAACTGAAGGAGCACACATGGCAGGATCACAATGCTGCTGCTAAGGAAGGGCATACATTATAATTTTTTTCATTTAACCAACAGGTTGAACAAAAAAAAAGCCACTGGGTGCTGATGGGAGAATCCTCCCCGAAATGTTACTACCAATGGGGAGCCTTTCCCGCTGGCACAATACAATGATCAGTACTGCGGGCTATAGCTGAAGGCACTGATCGTTTGGGAAAAACCCAACAGGCTACTTACGCACAAGTTGATCAATAGATTGACTGGTGTACAACCAGCTAGCGAATACATGAATCAAAATTCAGCTGCTCCCTGCTGAACCAGCCAAATTTTCATCCACGTATGGCCTGTTTAACTGAGCACCAGTGGCTCTAAAATGTAGCATGGCAGCATTATGCTGACTGGCTACCTATTGGTATTCTTTTTTTCATTTTTTGGCACACATGTTAAAATGCATATTTTAGGCCTGAGGAAGTTTTAACACCCCCCCCCCCCCCCCATAAAAAAATGTGTATTTTTTGAAAGCAGAGACTATGTAAATGTTTTATGTCACATGATAATTGCATTACTACTTATCTTATTCTAACTTTTCAGTAAATATACACTCAAGTGGACACAAACACAATAGAATACCCATTTTTTTGTAAAAGACACTATAAAAGCTGAGGTTGCATCAAGTAAATAGATACCAAATATGTCAAACTTCAAAATTCCACCTGTCAAGGAAAAGGAGAAAAACCATCATTGTTCATAGGTAGTAAATAATCTAAAAACTTTCACAGGTCATCAGTTTAGCATTTACTGTGAAATATATCCCTAGAATAATTGATCTCTGGCATGATCACTGATACCTGCACATGCATCCCTGACTTACTCATTTGCGTTCATATTTGCATGTACATGGAGGTGGAGAAAAAAATAAGCAAACTCCCAACTACTACAGTGGCCTAAAGTTTCTTTACCTGCAAGACAGCAAAAGGGTTAAAGTGTATCTACCTATCTATCACCAAACAAAACAGGAAATAAATATAACACAGATAACCAGTCCATGCATACAGTAAGGCTACTTTCACACTCATCCACCGCAAAAACGCATTGTCATTTTTACTGCACTTTTGCCATGCTTCCTGAGCATTTTTTAAAGGATGCGTGATTTCAAAACTGCACCAAAAACGCTTCTCAGAGGCGTGCTTTTCAGGCGTTTTTCAGGCATTTTACAATGATTGGGGCTTTTTTTTTAACTCAACAAACATGCTCCAAAGATGATGCAGGCAGACATTTTTACACCGCAACAGAAGTGAGTTGAATTGAGTTGTCATACCAGGCTTTTTGCACCTGATTTGTACTACAGAATAACCTCCTAGGTCTATAACAGGGGGGGGGGGGTCGGTAGTTTGGAGGTGAACCGGAGAACTGATGACATTGCTTGAGATTTCAGTGCAGAAGAGTGCATAGAAAAGCATGGGCTCACTGGATATCTTGCAGGATCAGTGGTGTTTGTTTGCATTTATTGAACAGCTGTAAGAAAACACTTTCAGTGGTATATTTTGCAGACCAAATGAGCGTAAATAAGAGAAGTTCATTGTTAAGGTTTACAATACTTTAAAGTGGTTGTAAACCCTTAGATATACCTCGTGAAGTGAGGTCAGGTGATACACAGAGATGAAACAAATTTTCCTGCATAAGTTGTAGCTGTGCACTCTCTCCTCTAATGCTTTCTAAAACACACAGATCAAAGGCTATTTCTCAGCTCCAGCAGATAGGGGTGGGAATCTGACATCACACACTGCAAAGCATTAAGTAGGGACAGAGTGTAATCTGAGACCTGAGTAGAGGGAATCGACACATCCCCCTCCACACATAGGGAAACGTGCACAAGGTTGTCAGTCAGAGGCTGTGTGCTGGAGTGGGAGCGGGGCTGTCGCCCGGGATTCTTTAGTGTTGACATAAACTGTCAGAAGTGACTCACGCATATAGCAGAGGGAATATATAACAGATAGGAACCACACTAGGTGCTTTGGATTGTGGCAAGTACACACTACAGAGGGATGTGCTTTGATCATTTCTGAGGTTTACAACCACTTTAAGCGTCTCTCCACTCTCTCAATGAGGCTGTGATCAAAAGAGAGTTACAGAAGAACTCTGCTACTAATAGCCATAGTGCAAAGTATAGCACACATTGGAACTTTATGTCTTGTGCCAGTAAAGTCAGCGGTGCTATGCTTAGACACACACACAGCATGTGCCAGACATTCTGTAAATTTGCAAAATCCTATTATAAAAACAACATGGTATAAGCTGAAATTTCCCTTTAGCATATATACGTAAACAGGAGATTTAAGAAGAAGCTATACAAGTTTTACATAGCATAATATCCGTTCATGTATATTCCTACTTTGTTAAAACAAGGAACTTGTAAATTGACTTATTTAGTAAATGTATCATTCTGCATAAATAAATAAGTGACATAGTTACATAGTTAGTCTGGCTGAAAAAAGACAAAAGTCCATCCAGTTCAACCATTAAAAAAAGTTATAATCCTATACCCACAGTTGATCCAGAGGAAATAAAAAAAACCCAGCAAGCATGATCCAATTTGCTCCTGCAGGAAAAAAATTCCTTCCTGATCCCCCGAGAGTCAATCGGATATTCCCTGGATCAACTTTACCTATAAATGTTAGTATCCAGTTATATTCTGTGTATCTAGGAAAGAATCCAGGACTTTTTTGAATAATCCACTGAGCTGGCCAGAACCAACTCTTGAGGGAGTCTATTCCACATTTTCACAGCTCCCACTGTGAAGAAACCTTTCCATGTTTGGAGATTAAATTTCTTTTCCTCCAGACATAAAGAGTGCCCCCTTGTCCTCTGTGATGACCTCAGGGTGAATAACTCTACATCGAGTTCACTATATGGACCACTGATGTATTTATACATGTTGATCATATCCTCCCTTAATCTCCTCTTCTCAAGAGAGAATAAATTCAGTTCCTCTAATCTTTCCTCATTGCTGATCTCCTCCATGCCTCTTATCAGTTTGGTTGCCCTTCTCTGCACTTTCTCCAGTTCCCCAATGTTCTTTTTGTGAATTGGTGCCCAAAACTGAGCTGCATATTCCAGATGAGGTCTTACTAATCACAAAATGCAGCAACAGTAGTTTATAAAATAAAAAAAAAAATCTTTACAATCATCATTGAAAAGTACCCCCTGTGCTCCAGTCAGTGACTTTGCCTAGGCTGAATTAAAGGCATCAGTCTATTGAAGACAGAAGGAAGTATTTCCCTACTTTCCTCTTCTCTGGCAATCAAACTGCAACACTCAAAGGCCTAGTTTAAATTTTGGGGGGCAGAAAAAGCATGCAGTTGAGCCACCTTTTTTCTGTTCCTCCTTAAGCTGCAAAGACATTGGACAAGGGTGTAAGCATCCTGCAGCCATCATGCTTTGCTTTGTAGCTGTGGCAAAAATTATCCTCCCGTTACATTCAGCAGGCAGTACAATGCATGTGGTTGTAGCAATGCGGTGCAGTATTTATGGGTTAAAACAGATAGGAAGGCTGTCAAACCCCTCTGAAAAGTGATATGACAGCAGCTCATTTTTCAGAGGCGCAGCAGTGACAGCTGTTAGTGAAAATGTCACCTAACTTTGTCACAAGATGAGAGGCTGCAGCAGGAGCTGATCTATGTCATCTATAAGTGATCACAGCCAAGAACTACACAGACATCAGTATTTACATGATTGTGTCATCTCTGATACCTTTTTTCTGGGTGTCTTTGGTGCAGCTGTGTGAAATCAAAGGTCCTCTTCATTATTTTTCTCTGCTGGTAGGTAGGTCCTGAATGATGAAATGGCGTGGTACCAGGGGCGGACTGACAACTCATGGGGCCCCCGGGCAATAGGAGATCATAGGGCCCCTGTGTCCTTGCCCAAACTCAAAAAAGCCTATGAAAAAGGTACCAGGGGTATCTCATGGGGCCCCCTACTGACCCAGGGCCCTCAGGCAGTGCCTGAGTTTTCAAATGGTCAGTCCGCCCCTGCGTGGTACTATTCTCTGTACTGTAGAGCTGCTGTGAGCCCAGTCTGAAGTGATGATGTGCCCCTAGGGGGCGGGTCCCTGATTGCCAGGGCCTCACATTCCTCATTAAGCCCAGAAAGGGAGCAATAATAGATCCCAGAGCAGTAACTTAGGCTGGCCATACATTATACAATTTTCTTGAGATTTTTGGTTTAGATTTACCAAAAACCATATAATAGGAGGTCAAACCTAACAACACATTCAATTGTATCCAATTAGGCAGGCTCTTGCAGTACATAGTTGAAGGTAAATCTAATGGAAATTGGACAGAAAATTGTATAGTGTATGGCCAGCCTTAATAGGGCACAGCATCAGGGAAAAGATAAGTATTGCAGCGATAGAGGCTTTTTTTTGTTTCATGCATATTTTGCAATTGAATATAAAACTCAAGTTGGAGTTCAGCTTTAAATGATCAATAAATCTATACAAACCATCATGTGCTTTAAGTCTATACTCCCATTAGTGACACACCGAGGATTTTAATTCTAGAATTTATTTGAGTATAAACTTAAGATCAGGGGTTGTGAACCTTTTGTGGCTGCGGTCCAGCCTGTGCCTGTGAATCAGTTTGGTGACCTGTGGTTCATCATTTCATTAATGATGTACTTCATTTTAATTGCTGCTATTTGTTTCAGCCGTGAATACGTTTAATTACTGGTGGTTTTGTAGACATGAAAAAATATAAACTGAATTGTAATTGTTTTTTTTGTACCAAACTAAAAAATAGTTACCACCTTGAACCTTATTCGTCTTTCAAGAAAAGCAAGACATAAACAATGATTTTCTTTTAAAGTGGTACAAAGTACTATTTGTGAAATTAAAGCCCACACTAAGGTTGCGTTCTAGATTTGGCAGCCATCAAGGCAGGCAGATTTTTTCCATCTGAAAAATAATGTAATTCCTGAATCCCTTAAAGTGGAACTTTGGAAAATGGAAGTGCAGAGCTATGATGAATGGTAACAATAGGATCAAAATCTTATGCAAGAATTACTAAAAGACATAAAGTCCAATGTGGTAAACTAAATAGGTGAGCAGTCCAAAATGATATATCATGACTTTAATCAGTATGATCACTGCTCCAGCATCCCGATGTGAAAGTGTGGAAAGATTGCCCACTCACCGGAAGCGCAATCTTAATGCGCATATAGAGATCCCAACTAGCCGGAGGTCCTATGCAGGTACTGCCTGGTACCAGGATGATCCTCAGGTGGTCCCTCTAGCCGGAGGTCCTATGCAGGTACTGCCTAGTACTAGGATAATCCTCAGGTGGTCCCTCAGTTTGGGTGGCAGGTAACGGGAATACTGTTCTGATCTTAGGACTTGCTTCCTAGGCCTGGACAAGTCACCTGGAATACTGGGCTGAGGTGTGGAAGCTCAGTGCAAAGCAATAAAGATATATGTGCTCATAGTGTAGTATTCCAAAGGATTTATTAAGCATGAATTAGTAATGTATCAAATACAAGCATAAATGGATAAAATAAACACACAAGGTGACTGTGAGTAGTAGTAGTAGCATGAATTGCTGAATACACTGACCAGTGTGAACCATAAGGTGGCCGCTGGACCTCCTGATCCGGCGGCGTGACAGGGCTCCTCCTAGACGTGTTTCGTGTAAAGACACGTCAGAAAATGAAGTCCTGCTAGATCACCTTATGCTGGACCCTTTTGCACGTGTAGCTATGCGCAGTAAAAATGTTAAAAATCAGTGCCTATACTGTTTAAAATCCAATAATACACCGTCTCACTCTGCTCTGCACATGCTGAGTTGGCACTGTGCCTAAAATGTACAGCCTAAAGCTCTGGGCTTCTGGCAGCCTCCAGCAAGAAGAAACAGGAACAATGCTGAAGGCAATGTACAGCACACACTAATTGTGATAGCAGAATTTTTAATGTGGAATGTATGTTCCTTGCTAAAGAACAGTTTTTATCAGTTTGTTATGGGTAAAGTTCCCATAACAAAGTGGTCCTAGATTGTAAGCTCCAATGAGCAGGGCCCTCTGTTTCCTCTTGTATCAAATTGTATTGTAATTGTAATGACTACCTTCATCTTGTAAAGCGCTGCGCAAACTGTTGGTGCTAAATACATCCTGTATAATAATAATAATAATAATAAATGCTTTTGATTATCTTTTACCTACAGGTAGGCCTATAATAAGGCTTACCTTTAGCTACTGTAAATATCTCCTAAACCTGCACCGTTTAGGAGATATTTACTTACGTGCCGTAAACAGTGACTCAAATGCACAAGAGTAACGTCATCGCGGCTCATCCATGCAAAGGATTGGATCCTGCAAACCCGGAAGGAAGGCCAAGTGAAGATGGAAGCCCTGTCAGCAGTGACAGAATGCTACTGGAGGGCTTCGTTCTAAGGTAAGTTTCACATAATGTGCCGGTATGCAATGCATACTAGTATAATATTACCTTGTAGGAGGAAAAGTTTTTTTCTCTCCCCCAAGTGTACCTTCCTTGAAAGTGAACCTACCACTTTAAGTGAACCTTTCATGAAAATAGAATGTCTACTCTTGCAAATCCCAAGTCATATTGCTTAAAAAGAAAATACAAATACATCAATAAATTTAAAAGCCTTCTTTGGACCTCACCAATCTGGACAACCTATACCCCACCCTTTTCCTCCAATTGAGTGACCGCCTCATTAAAAACAACCTTCTAGATCCCCTTCAGTCTGGATTTCACCCTCAACACTCCACAGAAACTGCTCTCCTAAGACTCACAAACATTTTACTGACAGCTAAAATCAAAGGACACTCTTCTATACTCTATGTCTGGACCTTTCTGGACCTATATACGTTATAATTACCTGTTGTGTGCAGCAGTATTGCACAGAGCAGCCCCAATCTTCCTCTTTTGGGGTTCCCCACCAGCGCTGTCTGCTCCTCCTCTTTGTGTGTGCCCCCATAGCAAACTGCTTGCCATAACGGCAGATGTGTGTATGCACACCCGAGCCAGGCTGTGTACATCCATAGACACACACAGTGTGGCTTGGTCCCGCTCCTGATGCCTCCTCACAGCTTCTGGATGACAGCAGCAGGAGCCAATGGCTCATACTACTGCCTCTGTGTCTTGTGAGAGAGAGAGAGAAGGGAGAGAAGAGATGCAGCTTGAGTACAGTGCAGTGCTGGATCGGTAGAGGACTCAGCACAAGTAGAGGCCAGGCTGTGTGCATCCATAGACACACACAGTGTGGCTTGGCCCCGCTCCTGATGTCTCCTCATAGCTTCTGGATGACAGCAGCAGGAGCAAATGGCTTGTACTACTGCCTTTGTGTCTTGTGAGGAGAGAGAGAAGGGAGAGAAGAGATGCAGCTGAGTACAGTGCTGGATCGGTAGAGGACCCAGGACAAGTAGAGGCCAGGCTGTGTGCATCCATAGACACACACAGTGTGGCTTGGCCCCGCTCCTGATGTCTCCTCATAGCTTCTGGATGACAGCAGCAGGAGCAAATGGCTCATACTACTGCCTTTGTGTCTTGTGAGGAGAGAGAGAAGGGAGAGAAGAGATGCAGCTGGGTACAGTGCTGGATCGGTAGAGGACCCAGGACGAGTATAGGACCTGTTTAGGGACGGGGGGAGCTCAGCAATGTTGTTTACCTTAATGCAGGGAATGCATCAGGGTAAAAGAACATTTTAGCTTTCGAATAAAATTTAAAGGAAGTGGAAAAATGACAAGTCTACTGGACAACTCAACAGTTTATAAACCCATGTTACAAGGTGGGGGGGCTGCTTTGTTAACGCTAATCACATAATGAATCCTATACAGTTAGTCATTGTTGATTTTTCTCAGGGTTCTAATTTAAATTTAGGTCTATATCAGAAACAACATTGTTATGGGCCTGATAGAATTTGTAAGCATACTGTCCATGAAATCATCATAAACTCGGGACATCACCGCACCCGACTCTAGTTTTTAGTGTACACTTTAAGGCTTGGAATAATGTGATTCCACTTCATGGCTCCGGTATAACTTACATGGCAAATTATTCATTATTTTTAGTGAATCATTGGAAGAATATTTAGTCAAGAATGAACCGAGAAAACCCCCAGGCCTCATTGCTTCAGTTTAACAAATGAATAGCAATTAATCAGTCATGGTGATTAGACCTTATAGAGTTGTCATGTAGGAAAAGTGTGAAGATATTTCCCTGTCTGGGATGACAGGACCAAAACTATATTTTGTAAAAGAGAAAAAAAAGTATGTATATATTTATATATTTATATGCAACACTGCATATTTACTAAAGGCAACTAGACCATGCACTTTGCAAGTGCAGCTGCCTTAGTTTTCCCCAGAGCTTAGTAAATGTAGTGAAGCTCTGCTGATTTCCATCTTCCAATCATCTTCAGGCAAAAATGCTTCTTTTTAAATTTTCCTTGCACCTGATTGGGTATTCTTTACAAAGTAAAGCTTCACCACATTACATTTACTAAGGAAGCTGAAGGCAACTGTACTTGCAAAGTGCACAGTCTATTTTCCTTCAGTAAATCCTCTGCATTGTCTCTTTCTTTTCTTTACTTTTTTCTTTTTTTACCACTTTCTTTGCTTGAGACTTTTTATCTGTTTTACATTGTTACAGGATGCAACATACCAATGAAAAAAAAATGTATTTATCATAGTTGCTTTTGTCCTTTCAACTTTCCCTTTTTTCATTATGCATACGGATATGTTTATTATGTAACTCTTAACATGTTACAGCTGGATATACTGTAACTATCTGGCTTCCCACCCCTTTTTTTATTGAACTTTCAGCAGTGTTTCAGTTTAGATCTGTGATCAAACCTTGGGGAACCAGAAGCTCCAACTTATCACTCATGGGAAGCTGCCAGTTTTTTGTACACAGGGCTAACTCCCATGTTGCTGTCGTTTTCCTTAATATAGGGCTCCGCTTATAACACACAGCGGATATCAGTACCCACTCTTGGTTATATACCACAATGCTGGTCAACATTACAGCCTGCATTTTTTTT